GCTCCTCGTAAGGCCATTTTTGTCTCTCGGCTTATGCCGGATGCTACTGTTGATGATGTCAAGAGTCACCTGTTAAACCATCTTAAGGTAGCTCCTAATGAAATAGCTATTTTTAAGTTTAACTTTAAGCATAAGCGTTCTATATCTTCTTTCAAAATAGTTCTACCTGATTCCTACCTTGAAAAAGCACTTGATCCTGTAGCCTGGCCTGAGCACAGTATCGTTCATGAATTCCTAGCAAAAGACGCTCAGAATCCTATCCCTGCAGAAACTGCTTCAAAAACTGAATAACATAGTATTTTCCTGCTGCTATCAAAACGTTAGAAGTATTCTGGGTAAGCTGAGCCAGTTTTTTACAAAGAGTGCTTCTTTTGATTTTGATGCTATCGTGCTTACTGAAACTTGGCTTAACTCCTCTGTCTCTGATTATGAAATTCTTGTTTCCAAATTCATAGTGTTTCGATTGGATCGTCCAACTTTTGCAGGTGGTGTCCTCATTGCTGTTACTAATAAGTACCCTTCTGAAATTATTCCTTTCACGAACGAGTTCGGAATTGAGTTCATTGCGGTGAAAATTTTAACTGGCTCGTCTCATATTTTTCTGACCTGTTCCTACATTCCTCCCATGGCTGAAGATATTGTGTACTTTCACCATCTTGATGCCATTAGGTCTATCTCTTCGTTGGCCAAGGACCGTGATTTAATCCTAATCATGGGAGATTTCAACCTTCCCATCATTTCCTGGATCCCGTCTGAGGTAGACAATTCCTTGCTTTCCAGTTGTCATAACGACTTTATCGATGGCTTAACCGATCTTGCCCTGCTCCAAATTAATCCAATTCATAACACTCATGGCAGATTTCTCGACCTTATTTTTTCTAATGTGTCATCCTCTGTGACAGTCATTCGGTCCCCGCCGCTATCGCTTCCTGAAGACATTCACCACCCTACATTATTAGCATCGGTGTTAATTGATGTGCCTCACAATGATGCTTGCTTTAATGCTAAACCTCGTTTCAAATGCTTCAGAAAGACTGATTTTATTGCCCTTCGGAATCATTTAGCTGAAATCGATTGGAATTTTCTTTCATCTATAAACACAATTGAAGCAGCTACGGATTCGTTTTACGAAATAATTCATAATGCCTTGAACAAATTTGTTCCGGAAGTCCCTGTATCATTGTCTACAAAACCACCTTGGTATAATAAACACCTTTCTCGTCTTAAGAACAGGAAATCCAGAGCTTACAAAAAGTTTCTTAAGTCAGGATCGATGTGCCACCAGTCAAACTTTCTTTATGTTCGCAACCAGTTTATTATTCTCAACGATCTACTCTATAAGCAGTATATCATGAATTGTAAGGTAAACTTTCGAAATGATCCAAGCTCCTTCTACTCTTTTGTCAATATGAAACGTAAATCAAATCTTTTTCCTCCTTCCCTATCATATAAAAATATTTCACATTCTTCTGAGCAAGGTATTGCTAATCTCTTTGCGTCATTTTTTCAAACCACCTATTCGTCCGATTCATATAACCACAATTCTACTTATCCTTATAAATTACCACATATAAACAACATTTACTTTACAAAATTTCGAATTCAGGATCTGTTCGAAGCTCTTTCAACAATAGATATATCATTCTCTGCTGGTCCTGACAATGTTCCTAGCTGTGTTCTAAGGTACTGTTCTGATATCCTTTGCTATCCTCTCACTATCTTATTCAACTTATCCTTGGAGCTGGCATGTCTCCCCAAGAGATGGAATGAATCTTTTATTATTCCGCTTCATAAGAAAGGCTCTAAAGCACTTATTGAGAACTACCGGGGGATTGCTAAGCTATCTGCGATTCCCAAACTGCTTGAGAAACTGGTTACTTTCCAACTGCAACATTTTTGTAAAAGTATTATTTCCACTTCACAGCATGGTTTTGTCAAGCATCGCTCTACCACAACTAACCTTCTTGAATTCACTTCGTTTATCCACAGAGGTTTTCTGAGCCGCATGCAAACTGATGTGGTGTACACTGACTTTAGTAAAGCGTTTGACTCTGTTAACCACCATCTCCTCCTTCATAAGCTGTGTCTTTTGGGGTTTTCTCCTCATATAGTACAGTGGTTGACCTCTTATCTATCGAACCGCACGCAGCGTGTTTTGTTTAAAAACAGTTCATCACAGATTATAAATGTTTCATCTGGTGTCCCACAAGGTAGTCACTTAGGACCTCTTCTGTTTGTTCTTTTTGTCAACGATTTACCTAGTGTTGTAAACTATGCTACTACATTTATGTATGCTGATGATGTCAAGTTATGTCTTTCTTTCTCAGACCATTTCCTTCATAGACACTTGCAACTAGACCTTAACGAAGTCTTCTTGTGGTGCTCAAACAATCTCCTATTGCTTAACTGCTCTAAGTGTAAGGTTATGACGTTCAATCGCAGTGTGCCTCACATCGTTTCGTACTCTCTTGGGAATAACGTCTTAGATCGTGTTTTCCTAATTAACGATCTTGGAGTAATTTTTGACAATAAGTTGTCCTTCAACGACCACATATCACTAACAGTGAATAAAGCCAGAGGCGTGCTAGCTTTTATCAAACGTTGGTCTAAAGAATTTGATGATCCTTTCACAACTAAAACTCTATACGTATCGTTGGTTCGTCCTATCTTAGAATACTGTTCTAGCGTTTGGAGTCCGCAATACTTTGTTCACCAAAGGAGGATTGAATCAGTCCAAAAGCAGTTTCTGCTATTTGCGTTAAAAGGCTTAAACTGGGATACTGCCACTTCCCTCCCGTCGTATAATTGCCGGTTAAAATTACTAAACCTACCTCCTTTAAAAGAGCGCCGTACTTGTGCTGGGGTTATGCTGCTTCATCTGCTTATTCTTGGACAGGTTGACTCACAAGTACTTCTTGATAAATTATTCTTTTCTGTGCCTAATAGAGTAACTAGATCATTCCGACCCCTTTGGTTACCAATTTATAGATCTAATTTTGCGGAACACGATCCATTCCGCGTTATTTGTAAAAATTATAACTCGTTATCCCATTTAATGTCCCCTGAACTATCCCTAGTTGTAATTAAATCCAAAATTATGGAATATCTTTTAACTTAATTTATCCTTACTCTTAGTTATAATAATATAGAAATAACAGTTCATTGTTAATAATAATAAATAAATAAATTAATAAATATTGAAAATATTTTTAAATTTTTATAAGTGAAATTTGTAAAATGAAATATACAAAATAATAATGAATATTTTTGAAAAAACAATGACTTGCTTTCACTTTTGAATTATTTTATTATCAGCGTCTAAAAAACATTCAAATATGCATAGTTGTATGGTACATTCTAGAATGCATTCGAAACAATTCGAATGCGAACTGTAACGTTAACTCATTTAATTCGGTTTTCAACCCCCGAATGATTAATTATGATCATATAATGATCATTCATTAATTTTCGTATCAGCATTCTATCTCACTCAATTCATTTTCAAGGTTGTGAATTTGGATGTAGTTTTTTAGTTATTCATGCAGACCTCTAGTACAAAACCGTGTTTAAAATATTTCTAACACCCTCAAAATCTTGATTTTTCAGAAAAAACGTTTTTTCGGGACTTTTATGCTCTGAAAAATTCCTTAACGCGTAAGTTTAAGCGGATTTTAAAATTTCCACGTTTTTTAATAGTTATATGTTGTAGCTTTTGAAAAAAAAATATATATCTTTAATTAATTAAAACAAAAAGGATACAATTTTTACACAAGAAACTGACATTTTTGAATTTGTCGGACTTTGACACCAAGAAATGGTGTCATTATTGACACATGTCAATATTGTCTCATTAATCCTGAATAAAACGAGACCAATTTTATTACAAAATTATGAGAATTGTTGAAGTTATAACGCTTTTTCTAAAACAAGTCAGTGCAATCCTTCTAGCGTTCCGATATTTGCGATATACATGTGTACTATATGGTATATGATTTTAACTGCATGGATATATGCAGTTTACGCACAACTTAAGCTAAATTTTTGAAATTGTTTTCTATTGTTCAATGGGATAAGCGATTGCCAGGGCTTTAGAAAAACTTAAAGACTAGAGGGGGGACATCTGAGTAGAGTTTTAAAAAAAATCGAAATTTTTTTTCGCTTAAAAAATTCCTTAGGGTCTTAAAAATAACATATCAAAAGATATAGTCTAAGTGTCGAAATTTTCCATTCTGCGGCGATGCCTCACAGGTCCCACAGTACTTAAAACTTTAGACGCGTTTTACTCGAAACCGCTTTTTTTGAGTTGGCCGAACACATAACTCGAACAACTCTTAACCTATCGATTTAAAATGACAGTAGTATTCAGAATACCTATGTCTATCGACACACGTGGGATTTTTTTTTATATTGCTTACTTTTTTTTTATCAACAATTTTGTGACGTTTTTTGTTCGTGAAAATTGAAAATTTTGTTCAATCACTCACCATTTTGCAAAAAATCAATATATCGAAAAAATCGTGTGTCGATAGCCGTTGATGTACAGAAACTAACCAAACTTGATTTTTTGTTCTAAATCAAAAATTAAGGACGTTAGGTGTCCGGCCTATTTAAAAAAATAGGGCCTACGAATAAAGGCTGCAGAGCCGCCATTTTGTTTTCGATTTATAAAAAAAAATTTATTTTGTACTTTAAATATAATATAATTAAGCCTCATTTATAAATTTTCGATTGGCTTTTTCATTTGGCCAAAATAAATTCCAGAAAGTCCGCTTTTTTTCGCCTGTTACTCAGATGTCCTCCCTTAAAGCCGTTGTCATTCAAACCTTTTGCAGCATATTGAAAGTGAGTAATGCATTGGCTACTTTAGTGGTTTAAGAGCGTTTTTTACATCTAATTGGAAATATTTGGAAATTTGTACAACAAACCTTCATTTGGACGATACTCAAGAGATCGTACATATATTCTACAGTGTTATTCTTTAACATAGATTTTGTTTTCAGCTCCATCGCAATAACTAAATATTTTTCAACCTGACCATGTCATGGGAGAGTGTTGCGTCCAAGGATTTTTTGAGGTAGTGAAATATATTACGACTTGTTTAATAATGTGTTTCTTAACAAATGAATTTTTCATTTTAGCATTCCAACTAGTCATAATTTGTCTGCAACACATTTACTTGCATCCCCTGATGGTTCGCGATACCTTTTAGAACATTCAACCGGTTTGAATCTTTAAAATGTAGTATAGTAACATTATTATATTTTATCTTGTACTTAGGTGCGTGTCAATTTAATGGAAGCTTTTCTCGCGTGGCAGGACCCGGATCTTCTCGAGATGCAACTGGTTCTAGGCATATATGGAATCGTTACGGATTATTGGGTTCGGGTTCAGTTACAAGTTGTTTTTCGGCATGTCAACGAAGTCTTAAACAATATATAGCTAAACGAAAGGTAATTGGTTTACTTTTTATTTTTTATCATGAATGTACGGTTTTTTTTTTCTCAGATTGAACGAGGCCGACAGTTATATGAACAAAACCACCAAACAGCAGCTGTCCGAACCTGGCACAGCGCTTTGAAAGGGGACTGCCAAAGGGAGGATTGCTTCCAGCTTCTTGGGTACCTTTATCAGGCTCATATGGATTGGGGAAAATTTCGGGAAGCTATTGAATATGGTCATCAGCAACTAGGGTTTGTATTAAAGCATATATAACGTGAAAATAAAGCTTACATTTCAGCTGTCAAGTGATACGAGAATTGTTTATAAACTCTATTAGGCAAAAAAAAGAAATGTTAAAAATCTTAACGAGAGGGTACAAGCAGAATTTTTTTTGATTCCGAGCTATAATTCATTTAGATGAATTAAAGATGATTTAGCTTCCTTTACATGGCGTAACAGGTGACTCGTGACATCATCAACAGTGGAATCCTGCATAAGGCGAAAGACTAATATGAGCTTACAGGAATCAACCACTCTCAGCGTAAGCTCAGAAGATCCATGATCAATATTAGTCTGCCCAGTCCCTTGATACTGAAACAACACCAGTTGGTAGGCAAGTAAGCGTCAGTAAAATATTTAGCATCGAAAATTGATCAACTTGTACCACATGGGAAGTAGGGGTACTTAATAAACTGTTAGCAGGTTGCTTGGAATTAAGCTTCTTGTGATTCGCTTAATAACTTTAAGCCAGTGGTCGGCACCGCAATACATTGATATAGTTTAAACGCATTAGTGTTAGTAACGAATAGCAGAAAGTAGGCTGTGAGAATGACGTTTGACACATTTATACTGTGTGTGTGGGGCAGAGCTCGGGCAGAGAAATTTCCTATGCCCTCGGGATAGGGCCGTGCCGACCTCTGCTTTAAACCAAAGAATGGTGCTTCAAGTGCAATTGTTTACTGTACAAACTTACTCCAGTCAGTACGGATGTAACGGGTTACGTCGTAAGAATAAGACTCAGTGTGAGTTTATGTTTAGGAATATAATTATAGCGCGACAGAAAAAATTTTCAAAGATTTATTCTATATAAATAAACCAAAAAGTTCAATAACACAGCCACAAAAAAAATATTTTTTCGGGTCTGGAGGTCAGACTATGTTTACTATATGTTTTCGGGTTCGCTGAATCCGAATCCGACTTCAAAAACTAAAAATGATAAAATTTTTATTTTCCGATTCGGATTCAGTGACTCCAAAAACATATGGTAAACATGATCTGAGGCCAGAACTCGGGAAATAAAAATTTTATCAAGTTTTTGAGGTTATGTCGTAACGCTGACATTCTGGAGTTTTTTAGACCTTGGATTCGTATTCAGCGACCCTGAAAACATATAATAAACATGGTCTGACCCACGGACACGAATATAATTTTGTATGAGGTTTTTTGAGGTTATGTCAGAACCCTGACGTGCTGGGGTTTTTTGGACCTCGGATTCGGATTCAGCGACCCCGAAAACATATAGTAAACACGGTCTGACCTCCAGACCCGAAAAAATATTTTTTTTTGTGTGGCTGTGTAATTATTATAAGTCAAATATAATTTGAGAGTCTAACGCTATATTCACATCTTCATTCTTAGACGTGACAACCTCTGTGAAGGGGAGGATTATACCCTTGCAGAGGGTATTATAATTTTGGTCAAAAGTGTGAAACGCAGTGAAGGAGACATCTCCGATATTCCTGATCCTGATATTCTTGATCAGGATCACCTCCTGAGTTGATATGAGCATGTCCGTCTGTCTGTCCGCCTGTCTGTCTGTCTGTTTTTACGCAAACTAGTCTCTCAGTTTTAAAGCTATCGTCTTGAAACTTTTCACACACCCTTCTTTCCTTTGCACGCAGTATATAAGTCGGAACGACCGGAATCGGCCGACTATATCCTATAGCTGCCATATAACTGATTGATCGGAAATGGTATAACTTCGGTGTTTAGAGAGTTCAAATTTTACATGAGCGCTATTTTTGTAATTGTAATACGACATACAAAATTTCGTAAGGATCGGCCGACTATATCCTATATCTGCCATATATTGGAAATGACCCAACTTTCGTGTTTTTGAAGATAGCTGGAATTTGGTACAGATTCTATTTTTGGTCAGTTGATCCAACCTACCAAATTTCATTAGGATCAGCCGACTATATCCTATAGCTGCCATACAACTGAACGATCGGAAATGGTATTTGGTCGAAATATCAACTTACGTATTTTTGAAGATAGAAGCTTGGGACTTTTTTTAGATTTTTTATTTTAATTAATTGATTTTATTATGATGTAATCATAAGGATCGGCCAACTATATTCGATGTTTGCGATATATATCCGGTTTTAGCTGCAAAGGTATATGAACTTCGGCTCCGCCCGAAGTTAGCTTTCCTTTTTGTTTCTTATGATTTTAATCTTATGTCCGATTAAGATTAACCATGTAAAAATTTCAATAGGTCGGCTGTTGGACTTGTGTTTTGTTACAGACAGGGACTGCGAATGTACCATACATACATATTTGCCTGTTTTTTAGACGCTGATAATAAAATATTTCAAAAGTTAAAGCAAGTCATTGTTTTTTTTCAGAAATATTCATTATCATGTTGTATATTTTATTTTATATATTTTACTTATAACAAGAAAGCTAAGCTAACTTCGGGCGGAGCCTAAGTTGATATACCCTTACAGTTAAAACCGGATATACATATATCGGAAACATCGGATATAGTTGGCCGATCCTTATGATTACATCATAATAAAACAAATTAATAACAATAAAAAATCTAAACAAGAAAGGAAAGCTAACTTCGGGTGGAGCCGAAGTTGATATACCCTTGCAGTTAAAGCCGTTGGCCGATCCTTATGAGAATATGATAATATAACCCAATTTATTATTATATAAAATCTAAAAAAAAATCACAAACTTCTATCTTCAAAAATACCAAAGTTCGTATTTCTACCAAAAACCATTTCCGATCGTTCAGTTATATGGCAGCTTTAGGATATAGTCGGCCGATCCTTATGAAATTTGGCACTTCGTATTGTTTTGCCAAAAATAGCTCTCATCTCAAAAACTATATTAAATAGTTTTTAAGGGGTGGCTGTTTCCCTTAGAGGGCTTTTTTTTTTAGAGCCTTGCGGTGATAGTTCCCCTGGTCAAACAGGTCAACTGAAACCATAAAAGTAAAAAAAATTTCATTAGTTTAGTGCAGGACTGCAAATAAGACTTATGAGTTCAACAAAATTGAACCCAAAAAAAGCTCTCGTGGGGAGTGGGAAAAGAACACATTTTTTAACGGTGAATCCAGAAACGCAATAAACTTTTATTTCGATTTCTATTGCTAAAATTGATATATAACTCTTATTTTCAATTTTTAGAATAATAATTAAGAATAAGAATTATTTTTCAATTTTTATAGAAAAAATAAAAATAAAAATTATGATTCAATTTTTATTAAAAAAATTAAATATAAGTGTTACGATTCAATTTTTATTATAAAAATTGAAAATAAAATTGAATGCGAATAACTTCTGAACCGAGTGGACTATTAAAAAACCTCTTACATATTTATGATCTGTGGCGCAGTACCTTTCAAATGATGTATCGAATGTTCTTAAAGGACATAATCAAGGATTCCTCAATTATTCAATTTATTTAGTAAATAAATAAATATTTATTTATTTATCTGTAGCTAACAGATTAAGATGGAATTGCTCTTTCCAGAACGGTTCCCTTTTCTAACCTTGAGGATCCAAATCATTCTACTCTTGAGGTTTCATTATTTCTATCGACCTTAAGTTTATTATTTGACTCCAGCATGCCATGGAAATATCCGTCCGTTTTTACAAGTGCCTTTTGGTATAAAATTTAAATAAGAAAACATTGAAATTAGAGTCTTAAAATACTGGTTAATCAAGATACTCGGTAGATACTCAAGGTAGCTCGGTCTAACTACACCATGCATACGGCGGAATGTTCTATTGGCCACTCCTGGATTCAGTGTACTCATGATCAAAAGCCGTTGTTTAATTTTGTTAACACTAAAGGAAACATGTATCTTTTCCTCCCCTCCTCCTTTTAAATCAAACACTACGCGTTCCCATCCATATTTTTTATAAAAAAAAAAACTTGTTTCTCTTTTTAATTATTTAAAACATTTTTCTCCGTGAAAACTTTTAAAGTGTGGGCTCTCATGTCAAAACTTTTTTTTATTGAATAAATGGCATTATTAGAAACTTCGCTAAGTGAAACTCATATTTTCATATTTTCCCGAATCTATATCTGCAATTTTCACGCAAGCATAAGATAAGTGATTTAAGGGCTGAACCAAATACATGGTACTCTCTTTGGTGGGCTTAAGTTTTTAAGTTAGTTGAGTTAACTTTGAAGTTAGTAACTAACTTAGTTGGCGTAGTTGGCATCCCGGGAGCGGGAGGATAGGCAGCCTACGTCGCAGCCCTATTGCGTAGTAGGACCATAGCAGGGAAATAGGTGTTGCTGGTTTTGGCGATCTGGCAATCGGCGTAAAGCTAGAATTGAAATCAAAAATTAGAAAGCAGTGTGGAATAGCGTTCTTTTGCGTTTTGCGGCCAATATAAAGTTAAGTATAAAAATTTAAAAAAATAAGTCGCATTATTTGATTTGCCACCGACTTGCCGCTAGCATTACTCCATTCTCGAGGACTAAGAGGGGACTTTTTTTTACCTCTGATGTCTGTGAGGTCGGGCATTCTTTATTATTGAAAAAGCCTTTTTCTCCTTTCTTCTTAAGCAAACGGTCGTGTGGTTTTTTGTGCGCACTGCGTTTATGATAAATCTTGCTGTGACCTTCTGACGCCAAAGGTGTGGATCGAACTTTCAAAATGCGCTATAGACGTCGTTTGTAAACTATTTAATGGGATTATTAATCTTGGCTATTTCCAAAAAAAAGTGGAAGAAGTCCATCATCATAATGATACCGAAGCCTGAAAAAGGCCACAAAATTCCGACATCGTATAGATCAATAATCCATTTTGTACCATTTCTAGAAGCGTGCAATATTATCCGGGTACCCCAATTTGCGGTGAACAGATTAACTTCCAAAATAAGCTCAGCCTTCGAAAAGCGAAAATACTGTAGCGCTATTTTTCTCGACGCATCTCAGGCTTTCGACCGAGTTTGGCTTAATGAACTCAGGCACAAAATGAAAACGTATTTGCCAACATTTACCC